GAGGTGTTCGCTAACCCTTCCGCTTGCAGAGGCGCGGGTGCAAATCCAGCCTGTCCCGCCTTCCCCCTCGCAGAAGACAAAATCCAGTTCGATAAATGGGAACAGACTGTGGTTCTGTTAAAATGTAGTGATCCAATATGGAGACAGTTGAAGACCACCAGTAGTGAGAAGAATGAATTTTGCTTTGTAAAGTGGTGGTGGTTGCTGTTGCATGGTGCTTATATTCTTGCCTCGTTCGTTCTCTTTTATTTCCTCACTTCAACTGCAGAGGTTTCCAGGTTTCCGGACACAAGGGTAACAGGACAGAGGTGGGATGACCTCTGCTTCACGCGGCACCGCAGTCTTGCAGCAGGGAGCGTGTTTTTTCCTACAGAGCCAAACCTAGTCATGTTTAACTGTTTCTCCTGTTTTCGATCAGCACCTATGGGTCTTGCAGATATGATGACACCCGGTGAGTCCAAACTACCCCTTCCTCTCAAAGCGGACGGCAAGGAAGAAGGACCCGCCCAGCCCGAGAGCAAGTCAAAGGTATTTACCGCCTCCGCACGTGGCGTTGGTTCGGCCCGCAGGAGTCTGCTGTGTTGTCCTTCATCTTCTGGTTTTGGCCTACCCACTTCTGTTCTGTCCTGCATGCCTTTCCATTCACGTGCAATCTCTTTGTTTGTTTCTTTTCTTTTGGTTTTTCTTTTTTTCTTTTTTCTTTTCTTTTTTCTTTTTTCTTTTCTTTTTTCTTTTTTCTTTTCTTTTTTCTGCTTTTCTTTTTTTTCTGCTTTTCTTTTTTTTCTGCTTTTCTTTTTTTTCTGCTTTTCTTTTTTTTCTGCTTTTCTTTTTTTTCTGCTTTTCTTTTTTTTCTGCTTTTCTGCTTTTCTGCTTTTCTGCTTTTCTGCTTTTTTTCCTTTTTTCCTTTTTTCTTTTTCCCCTTTCCAGATTTAATCAGAGTAAATAAAACAGGTGCTTGTAAAGCACTCTCCCTCCCTCCCCCCCCAAAAATCGAGAGCACGTAACCCCCAAAATGAGGCAAATAAATTACACTTACAGCTGCCCCAAGGCGACGCGTGTGCAGCCGCCTTTCTGCGAAGCCAGGATTTTTCTGCCCTGTGGGGCCAGGAAGGGAGGGAGCGATGCTGGCCCTGGCTGGAGCTGCTGCAGACCCCTCGGGGAGCAAAGGCGCCGCAGGTGCAGCGGTCTCTGCTCGGGGAGGAAGCTCTCGCCATCTGCTTTGGTAGCAGCAGCTCTCTGTGGGCTGGTTCAAGTGGTTTCTGTTTTATTTTTTTCCCTTTTATTCTATTATTTATCAATATATTCAATTTTTGCCTTTTGTTTTTTAGGGTTGTGCATCCTCCCAGCCAGCGCTGCGGAATACTGAAGCGTCCCGCCAACGCCCTGGACCTCGCACCGTGAAAACTCGCGGGCTTCGGCTGCCACCTACCCCGGCCCC